GGGGGGGCCATTGCATGGAGCAAATGGATCAGCAGATTGTTTTTACATGCTGAAAGAATACATGTAAATAAAGCTGCAATGCTTAAGTATGAATGTGTATCAGAAGATTGTTACCAGCAGGTGTGTGTTGATGAGACAGGTCATCGCTTTTATCAGTTTTTCAATATATTTTAGCAGAAACATTTTTTCATTCTTTTTTGGAATAATCTGGTTAAATGAGTTTTAACTGTTAAAGTTTTAACTTTAATATTTCCTTTTGTTTTGTTATGTTATCCAGCATAAAACAGTCTAATCTGTGTTTGAATAATTTAATAACAGGTGGGCTGCTCAGACCTGCACCCGGGCTTCGGTGAGTTTGGCCCTCTGAGCGAGCTCTTCCCTGGTGTAGATGTCGGGGTAGTGTGTTCTCTCGAAGGCCCTCTCCAGCTCCTCCAGCTGCTCGGCAGTGAAGGTGGTCCGACTGCGCCGCTGCTTTCTCTTCAGTGGCAGGTCAGGCTCCGATTCCACATCCGAGCCATCGTCGGAGTGACTCGCTGTTCAGATGCGGGAGAAAGGAAAAGAAGTGATATTTTTCTCTTAACGTCACGCATTAAAACTAGCAGATGATTTGTCTTCTACTGTTATTTTTTCAGTTAGCCTCAATAACTTCAATATATTTTCTACTTCACTCTGAATTAAACACACACATCAACAAACACAAAGATGTTCATTCACAGATAACTTTCCAAACTCTTACAAATAATCCCAGTGGACAAGACTCCACAGCCACCACATGTGGAATAGCAGAATAAAAACATTAAACAAAAATATTAATAACTTTGATCCAGTGGCTTTTTTTTCCTTTTTTGTGCAAAGATGTGAATAGTACACCCACTCAGATCTTTTTGGTCTTATACAAGTCAGCTTGATGATCCAATGAGAGACTGTAAAAACATTACTCAGAGTGTGAGGTGTGTCATACTTATCAATAAAAGACACTAAAGAAAACTAAAGACTACACTGATCAGAGCTAATCTATAATAGATGCAACCTTTTTGAAAATCTCAAATGTATGAATGTTTCAAAATATTTAGCATGAAAACTCCTATGTCTAAAGTAAAAATAAGATTTTTGTTGTAAAAAAACACCAACTTGATAATATTTTAAAAGCTGGACAAACCGACAATTTTATTTTATTTTTTACATTAAAAACTGTGAATCCCTACGGAAATAAAAAAAATCTATTTGTTTTTGTTTGATTACACAACATTTTAATAAAAAAATATTGTTGATTTAAAAAAGGTATTGGGAAGACACAACTTTAATATTTCCTTTTGTTTTGTTATGTTATCCAGTTTTACGTTCGGGCTGACTGAGCCTCGAAGATTTTATGCATCTTGACAGCTTTTCCTTTTTCTTTACTTTTCCTTTTCTCTCCCCAGTTTGAATTAATACCTTTGTGAATTCTGCTCTAAGCAAGCGGCTTGGTTTTTACCACAAAGTACTTCAAACACTTCTTTGGCTCTCTTCTAAGTTCACCAAGGCCAAAGTGCCCACTTTTTGTGTTACACTTAATTAATTCCCCCTCAGCACAGGGGAAGTTTTGTGTGCAACACTGTATTAGTTCCCCCCTCGGAAGCAACAATAAAATACAAGAGAATCCAAATAGCTCAGGGCCCCTCATGTGAAACTGATCCTCTCTTCCCCTTTGGCAATTTTCTCCTCACAACACCAATAGCAGTGGGAGTCAACTTAACTTGCATTAGGAGCAAATTGGTAAAGAAACTTTCAAGCGTGAGGGAGCCAATAAGTAAAATATTTTCAAAAGGGCGGGAGCAAGCAATTGAGACATTGGCTTAAGCTCCTGCTGGATGTTTTTTTTTTTTTGTGTGTGTGTGTGTGTGTGTTTTTGTACTCATCACCCTGCATGTGTGTTTCAGCTTTTTTCTCTCCAACAGGTGCAAAGAAAGGACCAATTAAAAGGTCCGCTTTGGTCTAGAGTTTCACTTCTACAGTATCAGCTGTTTGAGGAATCTTTTTCAGATGTGATCATCACAGAGCAGTTGGTAAAAATCTCTGATCTTCAGTTTTTGTTTTTGTTTTAATTCGTGACTTGTAGGTCTTTGTGCTTTAGATGGTGGGGAAAGAATTTGGGGTGTGGAGTTTTTGGACAGCCCGTCTGAAAAACAAGAGATGAAACCTTTTGTAGCCTCCCCCCCAGTTTGTGCACAGAAGTGGGCTGCAAGGAATGCCTACCCCTTCCTACTGAAACCCCGCCTGCCAATCCCCACCCCAGCATGCACGTTCCTCAGCATTTCACAGGGATTTGGGCCTTGGGAAAGCCGAGGCAGCTCGGGAAAATCCTTAATCACTTTGGAATTACCTATCGGTTCTAACTGCTACCGGGGTTTCAACAACTTTTCAAAAGAAGCGACAGAGTGGCACCTCCTAAGACTCGGGAGTCTGGTCTTTCTAGTCTCTGACGGAGGACCAAAGCAGGCTCATTAGTTTCATCCAACTTGCATTGCTACATCAAGTGATCTTAAGACACAAGATAAAATGACTGTAGAGCTGAAAAGATAATATTCGAAGGGAGAGCCAGAAAAACATTCTGCGCTGAGACTGAGAAATGCAGCCAAATTATTGCCAAATATGCAGATTTTTCACTCAATAAAATGATTGAATTTACTAAACAAACATATTTTTTGCTTTAGCACAAAACCCTCCTTAAACAACCTTCTCATCCCTCTTCTCTCCGTAGTCTCTCTCATACTCACTCATTCTTTGTCCCCCCCCCCCACCCCATCACCCCCCATCTTTTTTTCTTTTCCACCCATATTTCTCTCTCTGACTCTCGGGCTCTTTGTTGCTCCACAGAGCTGAGGTCTTTGCCGGCGATTTCCACGCTCCATCTGTGGAATCCGTCATGGCTCCCTCAGCCCTTCACAGTGGAGGCCTGTCACCTGCCCCATGGGGGAGCTTGGGAGGTGTTGGGGAGGAGGGAGGCATAAAGGGGCTTCGCAAAGAGGGCTTTGGGAATGGGGTGGGGTGGCTGGGGTATAGCCAGGGGCATTGCAACCCCCACCTTACTGGCCAAAAAAGAAGAAGGAAAAAAAAAAATCACCCCTTGTTTTCAGCAGGAACTGTAAGAGCACCTGAGGGGTGAGCTGTTGTTTTGCTTCTAAATGTACCCCTGGGGATGGTCCGTCCGGGCATCTGCGCTGGTTCTGTTTGAGTTCAGTAGACGCAAAGAACATCCGCATCTCCATTTTCAGTAACTAGATTTATTAATTTACTTCTGTTTATTTTCTGAACAGCTCTGAAATTAAAGCCCATTAGCAGCTGTTTATGAACTTACGCAGGTGTTTGAAATTCAGAGGTACAGTATAACTTGAAAAAATAATAAAGGTGAAAATACTGTAACAGAAAATGACTTTGATAAAAATACATTTCAGTGGGAAGAAAAGCTTACGGTAAAAGTCATAAAACTGCTCACAATATTAGGAAAAGGAAAAGGAAATGTAAAAGTAATTTGCATTTGAGTTACTCAACTAGGTTTAGTGGAGCCAGTTGACAAAACTTGGTTAAGTAAATTCAACAATTTACTTTTTAGAGTGCATAAAAAGCACCTCTCGTGATGGCTTTGGTCATATTTAAATTTGTAGCATCAAACAAGATGTTAAATTTTAAAGTGAAGTAAAGTTTCAGGTTTTGAATGTAACAAAATAAAAGTAAAGGTTATGATTTAAAAAAATGGTAAAATTACAGATCCTCAAAAAAATGCTGTAACAAATAAAACGTGACCCATCATATCGAAATGAGGATCAAGTCAAACTTGGTCAAAATGACTTAACTACATTTTCAGATTCCTGCTTTAAAAGCTACATTTTGATACTTGGATCCTTCTGATATGCTTATCCAGAGATACGACTTAATTTGTCTTGTTGGTTACGATAATATATTACTGTTTGGTCTGCATCCTAATTTTATGTAAATTTATTGAGTAATTTTTGATGGTAATATAAAGAGGAAACCTCAAATAATATTTGTATATTAAGATTTCCCAGTTGTAAAGCAACAAAAACATTTCTAGCTCACAGGGAAAAATTCAAAATTTTAAGGCATTTTTCCTCAAAATCATTTTTTTGTTGCTACTGCTCAAAAAAATGCTTCAAAAATGTTTTTAGGATTATATTTCAGACAGTTCATTCAAATAATACATTGATAAGGCATTAACAGAGTTGTAAAGTAACTAAGTACAAATAAAAAATAAAAAAATTAATTTAAAAATTAGAAAAAATAAAAAAAATCCTCGCGCTGAGGTTGCACTGCGTATGAGGCACATCCCCCAGGTGGTGGATTGGGGATCCCTGTTCCTGGTGTATAGGGGTGTGCCCAAATAAGCTGAAAGGAGAATAGGGTACCGCAAACCAAAAGCAGCCGCACAGGTGGGGCTCGATAGCCTTGGCAGGCAACCCACCTAGGAGAAGGAAAGCTCTGATGCAAAACCCGGGTACCGTCAACACTCGTCAGTTGTCTACGCCCGGTGGATGGCAAGTTGACAAAACTTTTAAATTGAGCAGACAAGGGACCCAGAAGGAGGTTCTAAAATCTCCAGGGACCCAGCCTGCAGCACATTGGTTAAGGATGCTGCAGGTGTCATGATTCTTGTGTTTTGGTTATTTTTGGTAGTATTTTTCAGATTGTTTTTCATTGTTTGGTATTGTCTTATTTTCTCATTTCCTGTTTTCAGTTTCATGTGTCATGTTTACCTCAGTCAGCTTCTTAGTGTTTTTCCAGCCTGCCACACTCACCTGTCCTCAACTGTAATCACACAGCTGTTTCCTACTTCCACTCAGCCCTGTTTGCATTCAAGGATCTTCTCTTCTTCACTTCAGCGTCCGGCCATTGCTTACCCATGTCTGTTCTGTCCGCATGTTCATGTTCCAAGTTTTGATTTATTGTTTTGTTATCTTGCCACCACGTTGGCCTTTTTCTTTATTAAAGTCTTTTTTTTACTTTAAGTTTGGTCTGCCTGCCTGCATTTTGGGTTCTCCTCACCACCAAGCCGTGACAGCAGGTGGGTCCTATGACCGTGCCTCTGGCCTGTCTGGTGGGGAACCACGCTAGATGGGCCAGTAATATAGTGACTGGAACAACCCTGGCCCCAGGACCCGATGCTTATTTGTTGGGTCCAGGGCAACCGAAGGTTTTAGTGCCCTGGGGCTCAGTGACGGTGATGGCTTCTGCCAATGCAGTCACTGTGTCTACAGGGAGTACCCAGTGCGAGTGTAGCCCCTGGACTGCACCCCAGCGGGGGGGTGGTCGGAGTCTCACAAGCCCTGGGGTCTCCAGGTGATGAGGACTCCAACATGATGTTGGTGTCCTCTGATGGAGAAAAGGGTCCTAATCGCTGTAGTTTTAGGGATGATGGAATTTTTACAGAGCAACTTGCATCATTGTAAAGATGCAAGTACATTGTTGTGTACCTGCCTTAGTAGGATGCGGGGACCACACTTTACAGTATGTCATTACTGGCTTGG